GCAAAGGAATTGTTTGATGCTGAACATCGAAAGTATTTTAATTAACCTTATTTACATCGAACTTCAGGTCTTATTATGCTGTCGCTAGACATCATTTACTCTCGCTTAATGCCGTATCCTTTTACTTTTTATTTAGATCATCATCATTTTTAATTCTGCTCCTCAATATAAGGGTTTTACCTAACATTTTTTGCAGTACGAAAGGCACAAAAAAATGGTTAATGACTACCTTACTTACTACGGTGGATCCTGGAAGGATTTCAATGCTCATAAGTATTTTTTGATCTTCTTCATGCTTTTAAAAGGTCTCGTGAGAGGAATGATACCGACATTATTCGTAAGCACCATCGTTTTCTTTGGTCAGATCAGGATGAGCCTACTAGCTGGTTTGTTTTACTTCATTTTATTTGCCTAGGGCGGCCAAATTAGCTAAAAGATATTGGGATAAACTCTTCAAAGAATACTGCCTAATTGATCTTACACGTTATAAGGAAAACAAAGTTCGTTTTTCGCAATCTAAATTATTGTAATAGTTTGGTATGCGTTGGAGGCTTGAACGTGAAGTAGTATCTGGGAAAGGCCAATTTATTTGTGGCAATGTTTCTTGCTCTGAAAATGATAATCTTCGGAGTTGGGAAGTGAATTTTGCATATAGAGAATTTAAAGAAAAGCGAAATGCTTTGGTTAAAGTCAGACTTTGTCGAGAATGTTCAGATAAATTGAATTATCGCTATAAGTAGGTTTGCAAGACCATATTGCTTAAATTACATATCTTATTTTGTTCAGAGTAATATTATAAGTCTTAATTTTTCCTCTCCTAAATCACTCTAAATTTGCATTGTAGACGCAAAGAAGTAATTCCAGCCCTGGGTGATTCGGCAAAATCTTCTAACTTGTTATCCACAAATGTAGATGGCAACCTTACCCGCACTTTAGGCAGCGACTCAGAGTTACCAGGCAGAGATGTTGAAGATCCTCTTGAGCCTAGTGAACACAAGCGGCCAAGGCTTCTTGTTCAACCAGATTTCGAGCCAGATGCAATATGGCGCAATGCTAACGCTTCCAGTGATTCAGGACTTCGAACTAGAGATGATGAATTTGCGGAATATTTTCAAGATATGCTTTTATGATTGTTTCTTAATTTACCTTGTTCTATTTGTACATAT